TTAGAGGGACAGTAGTCTAGATCCTTGTATGTGATCTCATCCACCCTCTCCTTCTTAAAGGTTGAAGAAGTTAACTGAATTTTGATTTTGGTACTGTATGCTTTTAAATAATCCCCTAATTTTGAAAATGTTCCACCAGCAGTAGTCTTAAGAAAAGGCACTTTTATTTCATCTTATAAAAATGCCTTAATTGATTTCAAATATATTTTATATTCACTATTCTTAATGATTTAAAAATTAACATCTGTATATGAGCAAGTTGGAGGATTGCTATTTTAAAACTACTATTGGGGACATGTATAAAGAATGTTCTACCCTTTTATTTTACAGAACGGGTGACTGTGAATGATATCAATTCAAATGGTATTGTTTTGCATTGTTGCTTTTGAGTCCTTTCAAGACATTTTTTAAAGGGTCATATATTTAGATTTCTAAGTACCAAGTCATAGATACAATTTCCACAATCTGAGGTTTCATATGTGTCCTTATAAAGATCTGACAGGTGGGAAAAATGCATTCTTTTCTTTGGAAAACTACTTTTTAACCTCTAACAATTTTTATTTTGCCATTCTCCTCTTTTTTCTCTTCTCTCTTCCTAAAAATGTATTTAAATAAAAACAGAAAATTATGTCTCTACTTATAGCTTACAGGCAATTAACCAACAACAGCAGACTGACATGTGAGCAAGGGAAATATGTGAATGCTAAATACTTCCAAGGGAACAGTGTTTGATTTTTTTAAAGCCAAACACAGCTCATGTACTTATTTAAGCAATAGTTTCCCCCATCCTTTTCTTTTTAAAGATAAGAAACCCATTTCCAGGGATAATATTTTTCTTCTTTTACTGTTGGAAAGATAAATGCATGAGTTTAGTAATCTATTTCTCTTTTGTTATGCATGCAGAAATCCAAAGCCATGTAGACAATTAACCTATGTCTATATATATATATTTATACACACACACACACACACACACACACATATATATATATACACTTGATTCACATATTTGACTTTGTTTACACATCTGTAGCACCTGTATACTCACTCTTTTCACATCCTAATCCCATCCACAACTTCTGCATTTTCTACTGCTCTGATTTGGTGATGGAGAAAAAACTTTTATTGTCTTTACCACATTAGATATGATTAAGTATTATTGTTCCTTTTGAACCTACCAATTCTTATTTTATGTGAGATAAGGCTACTGTTGTGAAGGCCTGAGTGAAACTGAGGACAAAGCTACTCTTGCTAAAAAGATTTTGGGCAAGATCGTGGATAACAGCAAACTCAAAACAAGCAAAGCCCCAGGAGGAAGCACCAATATCCCCTGATATTTAATGAAAATATTGTTCTCATGATACAAAGAGGTTGATAAGATCATCATAAAGGCCAACTAGGACTTGGTTATAATTCAGGAGAAAGAAAAGAGGCAGTAAGGGAAACAAGTCTGATAAATACACATAAAATATATGTATCAGTAATACATATCAGTAAAAATATTGATAAATAGTAATAAAAGTCTATATCTATATGTTTATGAAAATATCTTCTAAAGTATGGGCATATGGCTCCACTAAAGAGTTCAGGATATGCTGCAAGTTGGTTTCTATGTACTTTAGTAAGAAAAACTATAATTTTTTAGTCAATTCAATTTTTTACAGGCTGTCGAAAGAGAAAGAGATTAGTTGGTATGAACCAAAAGAGAACCAGCAGATTGTGGCTTTTGTGCTTGTAAATACATATCTATAAAATCAATGTCATTTATAAAAAGAGATATGCCCATGAGTATACACACAACATGTGGCATATTTCATGCACAACACTCACATGTGTGTGGTGTAACATGTGGCTGTAAATGATTAGGCAATCTGAAAAATGCAAGATATTACATGTGATAATCATTACCTATTAAAATTATTAAATAATTTTGCTTTGTCTAAGGAAAAACCACCTACTTCAGACTATGAATTGGGGAGTGTTTTACTGCTGGGAAATTATAGTTAAATGTATGTTTATTCCTTCATATGCACCTACCAAAAATAGTAGGGGAAGACATGAGTGTACATGCAAAACCTTAGAACTGCTTCAGATTTGGTAAGTTACTCCTAAGCCGTCACTACAGATAAGAGCACCTTATTTTATGGAAGATCTTCTGAAATAAAATAATACATATGAAATTTTATGTAGGAGTGGGAAGAAGATTATTTCAAATTTTCCACCAAAATGTCTATGTGTAATCTTTTTTTCTCTCACCATACACAAATAGGAATAGACAGAATTCAGCCTTAGTGGGCAAAACTAACAGTTAACCTGGGATTCTGGGTTCAGCGAGAGCCTTAAAAAGGAGAATATTTCTCCTTACATAGAATCATCTTCCCATTCCTTATCTGGGGAACAGGGGCTCACATACCAGAAGGGCACCGAGGGGGAATGGGGATGAAGAAAAAAAGGGTGAGTGCAGTGAGGCGAGGTGAAAGCCTCAAGGAAGGTCTGGGTCTTGTTTCAGGAGGGGGCAAGTTCTAAGAAAGGTCTATCTATGGACTGAGACAGACACTCTCCTTTCAAAGAACCTTAATAAGATTGCACCTTCTAAAATGAACCACCTCTTTCCCCATGCTTTCTCCCACCATTTGAGGTGTGATTTGTGTGTGTATGGGCGTGTAGGTGCAGAAAGGCCACACTGTGCACCGCGAATGTATTTTAGGGCTGAGCTGAAAGGCCAAGAGTCAGAGGAAGAGAATCAAGAATCAAAACAATGACTAATGATTTCTAAACTGAAGCAAAGCAGATGCACTACTCACCCAGAACATGCCTCTGTTTAAAAGCTCCACTTCACACAGCATGCAATAAGGCGAGGAGAAGAAAACAGATTTTTTTTGGAAAAATGTTTTATTTAAACCTTTTAATCTTTTACAACAATAAAATATTGTGTCAATATAAACCCCTTGACTAAAACTGTTCACATCAAACATTACAGAGAATTGTTTTCTTTTTGACACCCAACTCATCTTTGAAAGAATTTCCTTTTAAACATAATGCAGAATTTATTGAAAATAAATAATTGTTGGCAACTGCAATAGGCAATTTGAATAAAATAGTTGAAAAAGCAACTCTTAATGAAAATAGCGTTTATTATACATCAGTTACTAAATGAATAAACTAAACGATCTTTCTTTAAATTAATAACTTCAAAACGTTTAATATACAAAACTGTACAATTATAAAGTCGGCAGAAATATTTGGGTTAACTCAGGTTTGAACCATAGCGTTTAACTGCAAAGAAAAAAATCAAAATAAACAGAAAACCTCCAAACAGTTGTAAAATATGAATTTATGGGGGAAAATTCCATAACTAAAATCTAACTACTAACAAAATGTGGAAGCTTGACAAAAAAGTGAACCTGTCAGGGATTTGAATTAACACAAGAGCGTCGACCTGCAGCTGGGGGAAACACAGTGTGGTGGACCAGAGGCCTGGCAGCCCATACTAGCGCATCCTCGAGGCTTTGTGGTCCTTAGGTAGTTTGAAGCTTTGTCTACCGTAGCTGAGCCTGAAGGCCAGCCAGTGGCCAACAAGAGCATGTCCGGAGACCCCAGCCAGGTTGGCCAGCAGCTGCTGGGTGTTGGGTGCTTGGCCGGCCCCACACACGTGTGCTCGTTGGTAACGATGTGTGCCTGTGGACCTGGCGTGTGGACATGAGAGCTAGCAATAAAGCCACAGCAACAGCATATTTTTGGGATCTCTACATAGCCTAGCGAGATTTTTTTATAGTTTTTGTTTTTTTTTTTTTTTTGGATATAGTAACACGATACACACAGCTATCTATGCACACACGTTTGCACGCGCACACACGCACACACACACAGAGACATATACACACTGAGATTTAAAAAAAGAAAAAAAAAAAAAAGCAGGAACCCAACTGCCCCGGCGGGCGCTCGCTAGTTCGCTCACTGGTAGCTGTGAGCTTCCAACAGCTGTGCTTGTCAGAGATGGCTCCCCATGAGCCCACTCGCAGACACCAAAGAGGAGGTGGTACCCAGCTGGACCAGAATCCCTGTGACCTTTGCCAACCATTTCATTGTCGTTTGGCACTCAGCGGAGAGTTCCTATCTCCCACTCCCTAGTCACTCCTCCCCAAGGTTTTCTTACTCAGAACCAGCGGTGAACCAAACTGGAAGACGCTGGCCCAGCGTGTAACCAGCATCTCCAGGTCGCAGTCTCCAGCGAAAGCAATCGGGTATGAAGGCAGTCTTTCGTTTAAGAGGGTGAGGCGGGGTCATCCTAGCGAGGTTTGGAGTCAGTGGGGAGCTCCACGCGCAAGCATCCGTTATCCCGGTGGGTGCAGAGCCCTCCCCATCACTCAGACTACCTCTTTAGGCCCGCGCTGCTGCCAAATCCTTCTCCGGCACCTGCATCTATGCAGTGGAAGCCAGCGGTGGCTCCACACTTCCAGGAGGTAGGGCAGAAAACTGCGAATTCGCCTCTTCTATTTCGCACTAGTTTGTAAACCCTATAGGCTCGCCTATTCTGCCCATCCTAGGCACTCCACCCCCCGGAAAAAAAATAAGCCAATATCATCAACAGCTCTCTTCATTGTATCCTCTTCTCTCCATACAGATTTGTAAGGGGGGGGGGGTGAATGGATAGGCATCTCTCCCCCTCCTCCTCCCATCTTCTCCTTCCCCTCCCTTGTCTAAGCAATTAAAATACCATCAGCTCAATGAAGGAATAATAATAATAGCAATAATAATATGGAGTGGTCGATTAGATACAAATTATCTCACAAATATTGTGTACAGCTTGTAGTAAAACACCGCAGACATTTAGAAACGCTATAGAAGTTTTTAAAAATGCAAAACTAGTCTATTGTAAAACAGATTTCACCTGAAATACAGCTGCTATAACCAAGGCGCTGGAAGGTTATTCAGAGGCACACATCTGTCTTCCCACCCTCCCTCATTCCCTACCCCGCCCCCCCCCACGTTACCCCACTCATTGCTCCTTCTAAAGAGGAGAGACCAAAGGAACCTTACTCATAGTAAACAATATGTATTGATCAGCAGAAAAGGTTGGATGGAACTGTTGCCTGGGCAGCAGGGAATATGAGGTTCCCGCCTGGACTGATTAATATAACTGTATCAACATTGAGAAGCCTGAATGTGAGTGCAAGTGTGTTTCCTTTCTCAACTTAAGTTAGAATCCCCAGTGAAAGAAAGAGAGATGGGAGAGGGAGAAGGAGAGGGAGTAGGGAGAGGGAGAGGGAGAGAGAGGGAGTGCGCTAGAGAGATAGCAATAATAAAGAATGTTAGAGTGCAAGGAAAGGAGTGAGAGAGAATGAGAAATCCGCGCTGCTCCCAGTGCGGCTGGCCGCCTCCTCGCCTCCTCCAGTCAGAGATCCTGGCAGGACGTGTCTGTTTTCACGGTGTGCGAATAAACCTCATGCGGCTGCTGATCCCCTGGCGGAGTCATTCTTTTCTCTTTTTGTCTTCTATTACAGAACCAGACACGTACCACTTCTTTCTCCAACTGGAGGCTGTCTGCCAGCGAGGAGATCTCCTGCGCAGCAGGCTTGGGACACTTGAGGAAATGAGTCTCCAGTACGCCCTTGACACTCACCTCGATGGAGGTTCGCTTCTTGCGCTTTCGGCCCTGCGCGGCGATCTTGTCAATGCTGGTCGGGCTTCCAGTGGACGAATCCGCCTCCTCCAGCCACTTGTTCAGCAGAGGCTTCAGCTTGCACATGTTCTTGAAGCTCAGCTGCAAGGCCTCGAACCTGCAGATGGTGGTCTGCGAAAACACGTTGCCGTACAGTGTGCCTAGCGCCAACCCCACGTCGGCCTGCGTGAAGCCCAACTTGATTCTTCTTTGTTTGAATTGTTTGGCGAACTGTTCCAACTCATCAGAGGTTGGCGTCTCCTCGTCTGAGTGGTCCTGGCAATGGTGTGAACCCAGTTCACCGTGGTCCGGGGGCTCCCTGAGCACCGGGTGCAGGCTCTGTGTGGAGGCGGCTGCCGGCGGTGGGGTGAGTCCCCCGTGCTCCAGCATGCCGCTCACCGTGAAGCCTGGCTGCGAGTACACGTTGAGAGGTTGGCCGCTTGATGTGATGGACGAGTTCGGAGCCGGGCTCGCCCCCCAGGCGTTGGGGTGGTTAGTGTGCGGTGAGTGGTGGGCTACGTGTGGCGAGCGGTGATGGATGATCGCACCCAGCTGCAGGTCTTCACGCCCAGGCTTCACGTCCTGCTGGTCCAAAGGGCTGGTGGCCAGTGTGGAGGACCATGGGCCACCATCACTAAGACTGGTCACCCAGTGATGCCCGAGGGGATGCCCATTGCTGGGAACTCCCTGCAAGTAATCACTTTGGAGAAGTTTCTGAGGGTTTCGAAAAGGACTCCCCTGCTGCATGCCTGCAGAGTCCGCATGGACCAGGGAGCTGGAACTGAGAATGCTGTAGGGATTCGAGGCAGCTGTGGCCATGGTCGGTGAGGATCCCCTACTAGTTATAATGTGGCAAAGGGAGCAGCTTCAGCCTTTGACATCTACGGTGCGGGGGAGCCAAACCGCTAGCGTGGGTTACCGGCACCAACCACAGCCAATAGCAGAGCGTCTTGGCCTGGCCAGGCGTGAGCATGGCCAATGACAGCACAGGAGGCCGTTCTTGCTTTCCAAATTAGGCTGACGAAGCTCAGGAGTTTCAGGGAGACCCGAGCAGGAAGTGAATCAATCTTTAAGCTCCATTGGCTGCCTAGCAGAGTGGCGGCGGTTCATTTGATTAACCCTTTCCCCCACTCACCCTAAAGTACATGAGTGTTTATGGTGGAGGAAGAAGGATGAGAGGAATGTGGGGGGGGGGGTGAGGGACGGTGAGGGAGTGAGGTGGCAAACTGGGGTTTTAGACTTCCTTTTAGATTATTTAGATTAACCTAAACAGAGAAAAAAAAATAGAACAAGTTTAAATGCCATTTTGCTCTCAGTGAATCGGGATATTTCAGGCTTACTCGGCATTCTGAGTTAGTTGTGTGTGGGAGACTGCAAAACAAAACGTTGTTACAAACTTTGAGCAATGCAACATCTCCAATAGGACCCTAAATCAATAAAGTTGAAGTCTATGGCTTTAATAAGACCTATTTCAATTTGTTATTTTTAATTTCATTTCATTAAGAAACTCAATACCAAGATCTGAATGCATCTAAGAAAATGATGCCCAGTTTCTTCTGAAAAATTAGCATTAGAGAAGGAAGAACTGAAAAATTCCGGGAAAGTAAAATCTAATGTGATACTGGCAAAATTCGATGATTTTGAAGTTTGCTTTCTAATATAGCTGCTCAATTGGAAGCCTTGCTTTATTACTGCTCCGTGTCAGTTTCCTTCAGAGATCTCACAACTTCTGTCACGGGGGCTGCTTGCTGAAGGCAACAGCTCTCACTCACACTCAGCCACTCAGCAGACCTACTTCCAATAGGTACACAGGAGTTCATGACTCCATGCCCGATGCCGTCCTCTTGGAATATTGTTTTTAACACTCACACCTCAGCCCCTGCAGACGAAGTGAAGAAAATGTGAATCATTTAATGTGCCCAAGACATTCAGAGAGAAATGGCTGGCTGTTTGGCATCAAGTACTGCCTCCCTCTTCCCCAACCCATCAAGCTTGAATTTGTTTTCAGCTTGGGAAGACAGGGCTGTTTTTACATTTTGGTTAGAAAAAAAAAAGGAGGAAAGGCTTATATTCCTCCTGAGCTTTTATAAGTTAGGAAAAGACAAGTCCTTGTGCTCCACCATCCTGTGTAAAGGCATTGCTTGGAAGCAGAGTGGAGAAAAATGCAAAGATTTTAGATTTACTCTAGCTGGGAAAAGACAACATTTGATACTGAACACTATCTTTAAAGTTAAAAAATGACCTTTCATTGCATAATTTTGGAGGTAACCTAACTGCGTAATTATATTTGCACTTACAGAAGACAGCATCAGAGTTCCCTTATTGGTTTGAAATTCCATTAAATATATTGCAAGAGCTCCTAGGTTAAGCTTGATTTAAATTTGCATACATTTTCATATATTTAGCAGAAATAAAAGAAGGCTTGCTGCTACCAGAAAGTCATTAAGGCATTAGTTTCTCTAAGAAGACAGATCTGAAGAAAATGCAAGAAATGAGAAAAAATTAAAACAAGGTGAGCTTATTCTGCCATTCCTTTATATAGCTAAAGAGCATCTATTTCCTGTGAAATGAGTGATTTCTTATGGGAATGCAGAGCAATAGGAGCTGTTATTAGTAAATGTAAACGTGTCTATTAGGCAGGAAAACCTGGCAACTGGGTGAGATCTATTTCTTTCTTTCGCTCTTAAAAAAGAGAAAAAGATAAACACTTAGTAATTATTGGCAGAAAATATCTCCCCTCCTCCTGCTCCCTCATTGAAATTGTAGCTTCATTTGCCCATGTAAGGGCTTATCTGCTTTTAACCTAGAAATTGATTTTTCCATTCTCTCTCCCCCCTCGCTCTTTCCCTCCCCTCTCTCTATGTCTCTCAAGTGCTTGCACACTGCTCCCCTCTTTTCTCTTTTCTGCTGTGGAGCATCTTGTCTTTACTACCACTGTGTGCATCTTCCTTTGCATGCATGCAATATAATTTGTGCCTGAAAATCTGCTTCCTGAAGAAACAAGAACTTGTCAAAATCAAACAAAAATAAAAGTTTTTAGGTACTCTGTTAGGCTGCTTGTTCAAGGATCCATTTGCCAGTCCGTGTCAGGTCAATCCAGAGGTCAGAGGAAAATGCGACGAAGAAACCCTATGTGAAAAATGATCATTATTATTGCCATGTTGTTGTTGTTGGTAGTTTCCCCACCCCCACCTTATAACCGAGTTCATTTGGGTGAAAGACTTGCTAAACTTAGACGATTCTGGGGGTTAAGGTAATTAACAACTGATAAGGCTTTTGCTTGAAGAAGGGGATCCTTTTCCAGTTCTGACTTGCCTGAGTTTTTTCAATCAACCTTCTCTTGTCCATGGCCTCTGCTCCGAGTGCCTGGTTTTTCCAGCCACCTAAGTGGTTCAGACCATTTGCCCCAGGCTTATAGGAGGCAGAAGTGAGGAGGGGAAATCTGAGCGAAGGGACAGGTTTTTTTACACCTCTGTTTTGCAGTCTTTAATGTAAGAATAGCTTTTGTCACGAGCTGAAACCGTCGTCATCGTCTTTTTCTTTTTCTATTCCTTTATCTCTTTCTCTTTCTTTTTCTTCGTTATTTTAAAAATTGTTTCCATGAATATAGATATTTTCTATTGAATTCGGGTGCTATCACATCCTCTAACAGCTGTAATATTATCTTCTCTTGCATATGAGGTGTTTTGATTTTTGAAGAAAATATCTGCATATAGTCAAATCTTGCTGTTCTAACTAATCTACTGGAGAGGTTTCCTTGGCCCTCTCCTGTCAGTCTAACTTCCCAAGTGTAACAGATGCCGCTCTCAAGCGCTCCTTTCTGCGGCTTCTCTTTATTCAGCCTCGCATATTTCTCCCCATGATCTGGGTTTCCATAGAGAGAGGAATAAAAGGGGGGACCATGGTCACAAATCCCCTGCCCCATGCAAAATAAAAGAGCCTCATTCAATAGACGACCCCGTCTGGACATGGGAGAAAAATAAGTCCATGCGAAGCTACTGTTGCAAAGGGCTGGTAACTTATTTTTCATAGAATGCATTTTGCCTAACTAAACTCTAAGTTACCAAACCTGCTCTGTCAGGCAGCTGCGCTAAATACACACCTTTCTGTGCACCTCATCTTGATCTTGAAGTCCACACCCAGTCCTCAGATCTGATTCTCCCCACCCCCTCTAAAGCTATGGTTTGAAAACATCACAATAGCTCCTGAACCTACCCGGCTGAGGCAGCTAAAAGTCGCCCTAGAGAGGAGCCCGGCTTTGAAGTGGACTAACTGTAATTGTAGCGAGTCTATCACCTATCTCCAGCAAGGCAACACAGGTTTCAATTTGCGTGCCAGGCAAGGACCCGGCACCATCTTCATTCCTTGTTGAGTTGCCTTCATATCCCAATTCGCCACCTTACTTTATTCATTCCCTTTGCTTAGTTTTTAAGAGGGCAATTCAGATAATTTCTAAAAGAAAAGTCGGAATGGCTTCATTAACTTCAACTTTCATTCATTTGTAACTTGGGGCTTCGCAGTGGCTTTCGTTCCTCACAAGATTTAAGGATACCAGCTCCTGAACGTCTTCGCAGATACCAGCCTCTCTCTTTCCAAGCAAGGAAAGACTCACAAAAGAAATTAAGCAGATTAATGTGGTTCAGATCGCGCTCCTGTGGAAGCATGCGAGCATGGCCACAGCTGGGCAGCCTGCACCTAGGCTCACTGGAAGCGCCCCAGCCTTGGGGATTATGTCTCTTGCAGATTTAGTATTTGAGTGTAAATTAGGAAGCGTTCTCCTTTTGCGAACAAACTGGCAATGGGGGATGGAAGGCATCTCGGGCTGGAGCTGGTGAAGATGGGGTCAGTGGGGGTGGGGAAATGGAGAAAGAAGTCCCCAAGGCCAGATTTGATTGTGTGCAATACAGCATGAAGCTCAAAGGGTAGGACGTGGAACATAAACGTGACCTCAAGATGAAAACTTCACCTTCAACATAAGTTCACTTTGGAAACAGGACAAGTTAGATTGGGCTTGGTAGAGATACTCGCACATTTTCTTTTTAAAATCGGGAGTTATTACAGGAAGGGAAACAATTGAACAGCTTCTCAAAGCAGCAATGAAAGAAGCTCTTTTCCTGGTGTGTCTGTGCATTGAGCTCATGAGACGTTCTCGGTGTGAGACACAGCTGTCTTTCAGTGCATCAGCCCACTGTAGCTGCTCTTACAGTTTTCTTGCTTGTTCTCCTTTCTTTCTTCTTCTTTGCAAACTGCATGGGGGAGGGTAAAAGGCTCATAATATTCTGGGGGAATTTTTTTTAAAAAAAGAATTTAGACAGCGTGATAAGCAGATATTGGCCAATGCTGACTCAAGCTCAATTAGTTCGTTTTTTTAGGTCTCTGTTGGCATTCCTTGAACATGTGAAAAAGAATCTTCATAGAAAAGGGAAAACGGAGAGGGGTGGGGGTGATAGCACACAATAAATGCTGCAGCAGAAACAAGGTAACTTTAAAACAAAATATTCATCATGTAAAATTTAATACAATAACCCCAATCTGTGAGAACACCAGCTATTTGCTAGCAAAATGGAATGTCTGTGGGGAAGTGCTGAGGCATTGTGTAGCTGGGGCTGGCAAAAGGATGGTTAGAGGACAGAGACAATAGAGACTCTCACTACCAAGTGAAAGTATGCTCCATCCCGTAGCTGAGTTGTCCAGCCAGGTCCGCTGATCCAGTCTCAGTTTCTCTTCTGGGGTAAATTATCATCTTGCAGTTGCAATTGTCAGTGGGTGAACCCTGATCTTACAGGGTCCCAGGGAAAGAATTCTACAGAGACAGACCTATTGTGTAGTACTCAGCATAGCTATCATTATCTGGACATCGGGATTGGGGGTGTTTAGGAATCATTGTGGGCATTTGCTAGTCACTTATTTTGCACTGCCTCGCTTGGAAGAACCCAGCTGAGGATTTTACAAAATGCAGACCCCATGTGGAATTACCCCTCTACCTTTAAATTTTTTTTTAATGTAGTCACATAATGTTTTTAAATTTAAAATGCAGTGATGATTTTTATTTTTATTTTTATTAATTTCTTAAAGCCGGAAATGGAGGTATTTAAAGAGAAAAAATAATTCTAGATGCATGATCGATAAGAGGGAATGTAAAGATGATTTATTACTTTATGTGAATAGGTATTGGAGGCATAAATAAGTCATCTAGTAGAACACTAGATTTTTTATGACTATAAGTTGTTAATAGAGCTTCTCAAAATTGCAATTCACTTCCTTCTTTATAGACAGATCAAGGTTTTAATGTGCAAAATTGTAAGAATGCTTGGATTTCATTCATATTTGAGGTCATGTGTTCCCTATACCCCTCCTGTCCCCCCACCACTTAGTAAATAGTATTTATCTGAAATGGCCAGCATTCCTGTGTGACTATAGAGCTACAAGAAGCTCTATTACAGATGGAAATATAGGA